CCATAATTCTCTGAAGAGCTTCATGCTGTCTTGAGTACTGGCTCTTAGAGTTGGTGCGACACAGGGTGGAGAGAGGGCACATTTACTAGGCACTTACATAAAAGGAACTTGGTACTTTCAGTGCACGTTCTCTGCCCTCCGGCAATTCTTTGAATGATGTACTGTCACCCTCATTTTATATAGGAAGGTTTTGGGCTTAGGGGTTAAGTGACATGCCTGCCTCTCTGAGATTTCTGTAGGCTTCTGAAAGATCGTTTTAAAAATATTTTATTTAAATAATTTTTTCATTTATTTTACATACCGACTGAAGTCTCCCACTCCTTCTCCTCCCAGTCCGGATCCCCCCCCTTCTGCTTCCCATTCCCCCCTCCCCTTCCACTCCTCTTCCAGTCTCCGTTCAGAAAGGGGCAGGCCTCCCATGGGCTTGAACAAAGCATGGCACATCAAGTTGAGGCAGGATTGAGCTCCTCCCTTTGTGTCAAGGCTGGGCAAGGTAATCCAGCATGAGGAACAGGTTCCCAAAAGCCATCTAAGTGCCAGGGACAGGTCCTGACCTTACTGCTGGGAGCCTTACAAAGAGACCAAGCTACACAACTGTCACACACATGCAGAGGGCCTAGGTTGGTCGCATGGAGGCCTAACTTTTGGTCCAGAGTCCACGAGCTCCTGTGAGCTCAGGTCAGCTGTCTCAGTGGGTCTCCCCTTCATGACTTCCCCTGGCTCATATAATCCCTCTTCCCTTCCTTTAGCAAGACTCCCAGAGCTCAACCAGTGCTTCTCAAAGATTATTTTGCCATAGTGATTTTTCACTTCTCCCACTGACTTTCAGACCTAGCCATCTTAAGAGATATTCCACTTACCCTTTAAAAACAGCTCACAAAAGAATTCTGTTTCAACACCCAGTTAAAGGCTTCATTCTTGAAAGCATGGATGAGTATATGCCATGAGAGAGCCAGCAGAGACTTAAGCTCATGTCTGTTAATTCTCCCAACTTGCTTGCCTTCTACCAAGGCACGTTCTTTCCTCTTTCCCCTCAAAGTCTCAACAGTTGAAGCTGATGGTGAGGAGCTGGAGTGCCTGGAGTGCCTGGGTGAGGCCTAAGAGGGGAATTAGGCTGTCTCTGTTCCCTAAGTTCCTGAGGCCTTTGAGATTCTAGATTTTCTTCTGGCAAGAACTTTCCTCACTTTTTTTTTTCATAGCATATAAACACCATTGATTCCAAATTTGAAGTCTTTAGACTGAGACTCTTTGTGAGCTGTTTTTAAAAGGTAGGAGGAAGCCGGGCGGTGGTGGCGCACGCCTTTAATCCCAGCACTCGGGAGGCAGAGGCAGGAGGATCTCTGTGAGTTCGAGGCCAGCCTGGTCTACAAAGTGAGTTCCAGGAAAGGCGCAAAACTACAGAGAAACCCTGTCTCGGAAAAAAAAAAAAGGTAGGAGGAATAGTCATATGATGGCTAATTCTGAATGCCGGTGGGAGAGGTTAAAAATCTCTATGATTTGAGAATCCTATAGAAGTCTCAGAGAGTCCTGAGTTTCCTTTCTTTACCCCTGACACAATCTGTCTATGCACCCTCACTGAAATAGATTGGGGTTATTGGTGAACCTCAAATGGCACAATTGCTTTGCTTCTAATAGCTGTTTGGATGGTAACTCAAATTATTTAACACTAGACACTCATTTAGCCCAAGATGCTCACGTCTGAGATCAAGTTCAAGAGAAGCAATAGCACACCCAACTCTCATGTCAGTGTTGATTCTAGCTCGGTGACTTTTAAAACTTTAGCTGCACCAGAATCACCCGAAGAGCACGGATTCCTGGGCTGTGCCCCCAGAATTTTCAGATTCAGGAGGTCTGGGATTCAGCTGGAGACAAAACATTTCTCTCAAGTTCCTAGGTAGTGCGGATGGTGCTTGCCGGGCCCTCAAGAGGAGAAGCCCTGCGCTGAGTGGGAGCAGGTGGAGTCACTTGCGTGTCTCTCTTGTTCTCTTTTGTTTCTTAATTTAATGTTTTATTTTGTTATATTTGTTTAAAAACTTTAAATTAGCTTAAAGAAAAAAAAAAGCTCAGCACTTGGCCTAGACAGTTCCTTGTTGGATGAGTGGTTGAGTAGACTGACATATGCAATGGACAGGGTATCTATTTAGCCATGGATGTCATTATTATAGGCTCAGTCTCTGTAAACTTCTTCTTCTGAGAAGTGGGTAGTCATTTTCAGATTGCACAGAGATCGTTTAGAAGTCACAAAGTATGCAGTTGGATGAGAACTAGGGATGCTAACGTTTTGTGTACATGTGTGCGTTGTAAGATACCCCATCTTCAGACTCCCAACTGCCTCTTTTTTTTTTTTTTTTTTTTTGGTTTTTCGAGACAGGGTTTCTCTGTGTAGCTTTGCGCCTTTCCTGGAACTCACTTGGTAGCCCAGGCTGGCCTCGAACTCACAGAGATCCGCCCGGCTCTGCCTCCCGAGTGCTGGGATTAAAGGCGTGCGCCACCACCGCCCGGCCCCAACTGCCTCTTCAGTGTGCACTCAGCTCAACATGCTACTCTCAGTGCTTCCTGGAGCCTGGCACTAGAGCTAAAGTCTGGATTCAGTAAATAAATGTAAAATTTGACAATGTATCATGGGTGATGTGTGCTTTATATTGCACACACAAGAAGTCACACGTCCCTTGCCTGATTGGCCATTTGTGATTTCAATATTGACCATTAGATTAAGATGATAATGGCCCAATATTTTATTGTAAAGTTACTTTCTTCCTTGTAACAAAATAGTGATGTCTGTGATATCATTGTGACACCATACAGAAGTTAAATTTTTCTGCTATATTTTTAAATGTTCTCAATGCCAATTAATAGCTCTTGCTCTAATCAGTAACATTGCAGAACAATGATTTTTCCAACTTAATGATTCATTTTGCACTAGCTGATACTTAGTTAGGCAGTTTTTCTTTATCAGCAGGACTGTTTGGTACTCTTTAACACATGTCTTGATTCTTTTTTTTTTTTTTTTTTTTTTTTTTGGTTTTTTGAGACAGAGTTTCTCTGTGTAGCTTTGTGCCTTTCCTGGAACTTGCTTTGTAGACCAGACTGGCCTCGAACTCACAGAGATCCGCCTGCCTCTGCCTCCCAAGTGCTGGGATTAAAGGCATGTGCCACCACCATCTGGCTACGTCCTGATTCTTTGCTGTTAATTCCCAACTTTAAAGCAAGGGATTGATTTAATAGGCATCTTAAGCAGGCACTCTTTAAAAATGTTCTTATACTTTAATGGATTTTCATGAATTCAATATTTAAATCAACTCCATTTTGTATTTCCTTTATGTTCTATTTGTTTCATGTTCATTGTATTAAAATGGTAGCCAGTGATGTCTTCTTGTAATTTACTTCTATATCTATTCATGTAACTTTACTAATTTTTGAGTGGGATTTCTTTTTTTGACAGCAAGATTTGTCAGCTGGTCTTGTAATTTTATCGTCCCAAATGTCAACCACTCACTTGACTAACAAGCTCTTGTTTCTTTTATTGAATCTTCTTTTGGGGGGCGGGGATAGTAAGGGGATGAAAATCCTGCCACTTTTGAGCCCTTTGAGCTCAGCTTGCTTAGAGCAGTGCTGGTCAGATTGCTTCTGTGGGTTTTTCATGCTGTGATTTCTCAAGTCCCCACTGCAGGCCTTGGAAAATGACATGTGGATCTCAGTCTGGACAGCAGAGGGCGCACTGTCCCTGGTGTGTGTGTGTGTGTGTGTGTGTGTGTGTGTGTGTGTGTGTGTGTGTGTGTGTGTGTGTGTGTGTTATCTATTGGTGGGACAGTGGCAATGCTTATAGACCCTTTCAATGGTTTACTAGGTCTTGATTGTGATACTGAAAATTTAGGTAATGAATATTCAGATGGTATGGGCTTTCTTTACTTTGAACAATAATGGAATTTATTCAAAACTGCTAAGAGAATAGATTCTAAGTGCTCTCACCAAAAAAGGTAATAAGTATGTAAGGTAATGTTATGTAATTAGATCAATTTGCTATTCCACAATGTATACACATTTTAAAAGATGTTGCACACTATATATGTGTAAAAATAGTTACTATAATAGTTACTACTGATAAAACCAAGTGAGGTTTAAAGTTTCTTTTGGTAATTTTATGATCCAAGTTGATTTTAGTCAATTTTTATGCTAATCTAATTACTTTCTTTGAGATATGTCTTGTCTGTTTTGTTTTTAATGTAGATTGATCATTTTGGATTTTATAATACAAAAACTTTTAAGCAGCGGTACCTAATATCTGATAAATACTGGAAGACATATGATGGTGTAATACTTTTCTACACTGGCAATGAAGGGGATATTACCTGGTTTTCAAATCATACGGTATGTGGTATGTGCACTTTGGTGAAGGTCACTTAAACAATTTGCCTTTTACTATGATGAGCTGGAGAATGTTTTCTGAGATCAATCTTGAAACTTTGTTTCCCTTTGTGGCATTGGGAATTGAACCCAGGACCTTGCACATGCAGAGGAAGTGTCCTACCACTGAGCTGTATCCCAAGGCCTCTTTAATTTTTAATTTTGAGGCATGGTCTGACTAAGCCACCCAGGCTGGCTTTGAACTCACTATAATCCAGGCACTACATAAATTTGCAATCCTCTTACCTTAGTCTCACAAGTAGCTGGGATTACAGGCCTGTACCACCAGGTCCTGGTTATTATTATTGTTCTTAATTATAAAGCTACTAGAAAGAAAGAAAAACTCACTAATAATTCAAAAAATAACAAATTTATGCAAATAAACAAGTCTACAAAGAATAAATATAGATATTCAAGAGGACTCCATGTTTCACTTAGTGGAACTGTAAGTGAAAAGAACAAAATTCTATTTTTAGAAAACTGAATTTTAATTAAAAAATCTTGATTTATTGAATATAGAGGCTTTTGAATTTCTTTCTTTCTTTTTCTTTTTTTCTTTTTTTTTTTTTTTGGTGCAGGGATTTAAGACAGGTCTCTCTACACAGTCCTGGCTGTTCTGGTACTCATTATTTAGATCAGGCTGGGCTAGAACTCATAGAGATCCACCTGTCTCTGTCTCCTGAGATATGAGCTGGGATTAAAGGTGTGAACCACCATGCCCAGTACATATTGTGTGTTTTGATTATGGCCTCTACTAGATAAATATAAGGGTGGACTTTTCACACACTTATTTGGCATTGTGCGTTTGGAGTTTAGTATTATATTAAGCATGTAATAAGTGCCCAATATATATTTGTTATAAATGAACAAAATAAAAGCAAAAGTGTAAGTAAATGTAAGAAGATGTAAGTTTCACCATCATGTAGGGAGGACAGAGGTGAAGCTGGTGGTGTATTTTAGTTGATCTTCCTGTTCGTTCACTTCTTTTATACTCATAAGTATTAACACAGTAGGACCATTAACTTGCTTCCATGCCTGTGTTTCTAGTTACCTTTCATTATACTTAAATCCATGAATAAAACTTAAATTAGAGCAAACGAAAAGATGACATCATCCTTCTTGGCATGTCAGGAACCTGTGAGTAGAAAATGTCAAATTTCTATCAAAAATACAGGCTCAATTGTGGTAAAGTAGAAAATATCATATTATCCAGAATGGAAGTATCTGCCATGGTGCCTGGTATGCAGGAACCTGCAGAAAACGCTTGCTCCGTGAGCTCAGTTGAAATAAAGATGTGAATTCACTCATAGCTCCTGAATTCCCATTTGTGATTTTTACCCCTCTCTTACAAGTGTTAAGAGTCTAAATATGTGGAAAGTAGAAGAAAGGAGATCCAGGACCTGAGTCAATGACAGCTGGAATCAAGTCTCATTGCCCCTCAGATTCCCGCTGTTACTCTGTGAGAAACCAGGACTGCCTCATCTCTTTTCTCTTCTTTAGATGTGGCTTCCCTTTTGTGCCAGAGCCACAGGGCAACTTCTCCTGCTCTTTAATCTAGGCAGAGAGCTGGTCCTGCCTCCAGCAGACCCCACTGCTGTACAGGCGCTGCAGTGGGAGTTAAGGCTCACGGGGCAAACTCTCTCATTAGAAGGGCAGGAATGAAAAGACGCTCAGTGTAGGAGCAGTTCCGGAGAGTTGACCAGAAAGAGATCCCAAAAGGGCAGATCCTCACCCTCCCTAGTCCTAGACAGCTTCCTTTGCAAACTAAAATATCACAATTGTATGTTCACCTCTACATACAGATTTCCTGAGAGATTGTATAGTAGTGAAGATGTTAGCCAGACGCAGAGGTTCGATTCTTATTTTGTTAGTTGGTTGTTTGAATTTGGGTAAGCTTTTAACTCTACAGTTCAGTCTTCCCATCTGTTAAACGGATATAATAAAAAAATACCTATTTCCTAGTGTTGTTTTGACAATTAAATAAAATTAAGGCACCTGTAGAAATATAGTGTTATGCTGTGAGATAGTTGTACACTGCATGAAGATATATTGCTGTGATTGCTTTAATAAAGAGCTGAATGACCAACAGCTAGGCAGGAGGTATAGGAGGGACTTCTGGGCAGAGAGAGGAAGTAGGAGGAGATAATCGAGGTGCAGAGGAGATGCCAACAGACATGGAGGGAGTCAGACATACAGAATGAAGGAAAGGAAAAGCCACATGGTAAAACATTGATTAATAAAAGCAGGTTAATTTAAGTTATAAGAGCTAGTGGGAAAAGCCTAAGCTAAAACCGAGCTTTCATAATGAGTAAGACGTCTTTGTATCTGTTTGAGGTGGGTGGCAGAAAAGAAAGTCCATCTGCAGTGTTAATACATGTTAACACATTACTTAGTCCTCTTTTGAAAAGTAAAAATACCCTTGAAATGGATGCAAGCAAATAATCGCTAATTGTACCATGCATCTGTTCGGTTAAGTTGCTTCCTGTCAAAACCTGAGGTCAGCTCCACAGAGGTCTGATCCTACTCTTAAGATATTCATAATCTGGTGCTGTAAGATATACATGTGAGTTCCTGTTGCAGCAGGTAGAATAGACTTCTTTGCAGCACTCTGGTGTTGAGGGGAGATGGACAGCTCTGCTGGGCTGGGGCATGCAGAGGAGGATGTGCTGAGCTGGGTATGGCTGGAACTGGAATATGTGGCTGGAGTAAGCAGCTCTGTGAAAGAGAAGTGGAGTCTTGACAAGCACAGGTATCAGGCTAACATGTCCATTATCCCCACAGGGGATAATAATTCCTTAGAGATGGCTCTAAACAACCAAAGCCATTTTGAGGTTCTTATGCCTTGTTAGGGAATAGTAACTTGTTAAACACAAACAGCATTCATTGGGAATGACATGGCTTTAATCCATGATATATGTCTAATCCACTGACCTGTCTGCTTGGGATGCTTCCTTAGGAAGGATTCAGAGGTCACCATCCAGTCAAAGAGAAAGAGGCAGATGATTAGTGAGAAGCCATCAGTGTGGGGGGAATAAGGGAGTCTAGTGGCCTTTGGTGACTGCTCTGCATTACAGCCTGTATTCAGTCTTGGCTCTGCCACCTGTGTGAACACTGAGCCTTGGGTCTCAGTGTCCTTGTCTGTAAAAGCACAGTGCCTGATTCTTGTTTATTGTGCTAATTAGGTGAATTATTACATGCAGTGGTTAGAACAGTATCTGACACATTGTAAGCAGGAATTAATAACTGCTGTTAGCTAATTTCCTAATATATAAGTTTAAAATCCTGAGGGAGTTTGGGGTGAGTGTCAGAAGAGGAGGTCACATTTGTTGTGCATGGACAATGAAAGCCTCGTTTTTACTCTTCCTTTGTTTCTGTGTTTGAGACAGGCTCATCCTTGTGAGCTCAGGCTAATTTGGAAGTTACTATGTTGTACAGGTTGGCTTTGTGCTAGGGGCTGGGGGCTCCTCTGTCTCTGTCTCTCTGTCTCTCTGTCTCTCTGTCTCTCTGTCTCTCTGTCTCTCTGTCTCTCTCTCTCTCTGTCTCTGTCTCTCTCTCTCTACTCCTGGTGCTGCCATACTTGGCTGTGGAACCCATTTTCAAAAGTGCAACAAGGATCACATATCTGTGCAACACACATAAATTGCACAATTTTTTTCCCCCAGAGAACACTTTCTGGTGTGGTTTAATATCTATTTTTATGGTCTGTAGAAGTTCAATGTGATATTTTTACACCCTAATTTTACTCCTGGATTTGTGAACTCTTTCCAGGGGTTCATGTGGGATGTGGCTGAGAAGCTGAAAGCTTTGTTGGTGTTTGCTGAACATCGATACTATGGGGAGTCCCTTCCCTTTGGTGATGATTCCTTCAAGGTAAGTACACATTTTTTTTAAAAGGTTGTCCTTTTCAGGGGGTGGATAGGACAGAGTCTGGTGTATCCCAGTGTGTCCTACCTTCACCTTCAAGTGCTAAGATTGCAGGTATGCAGCAGACAGCATGTCTGGTTTTATGTGGTTCTGGGCTTGAGCCTAGGGCTTCATACTTGATAGGCAGCCATCCTTCCAACACAACTGCATCCCCAGCACTGGTCATGCTTTTCATTTTTTTCTTTCTTTTCCTCTTTACTGTTTTTGAGATAGAATGGCATTTATATAGCTCATGTTAGCCTTGAACTCGTGATTCTTCTTTGTCAGTCTGCCAAGTACTGGGACTACAGGTATGTGAACTGTCACCAGGCCCAGAGGTTCTTTTGCTCACCTGGAGAGTACTTGTGGGTGGGAAAGAATTCTGGTTTCTGGCAGATCTTCTTTTCCTTCAGTGTCCAAGAACAGCTAGTTATGGCAGAAGCCAGGCAGGAGCAGTGGCAAGTGGAAACTCCACTGTGACAATCCCTGGCCAGCTTTGGGTTTTGGAACCCTAAGCCCCATCCATGGGTTACAGTCACCATGCAGACCTTGGGTACTGGGACCCTTGGCTCTTGGCAGCAGTTAGAGTAACAGCTCTTATCCTAGGGTTTAAGACCCTTGGCCTGGGAGACTTGATAGTTGTCTAGAATGCTTCTGGTGACCCAGACCCTTCTCCGGACTTTTATCAAGCAACCTTTTATTAGATCTCCACTCTGCGACATAATCTAGTTCTGCTTTTCTGCTTGCACTGGCCACTCTTGGGACTCTACTCACAGGAGTCCATCAAAGGAGCGGTAAACTGGTGTGGATGCCTGGTGAGAGGCTTCTGTTCCTCTCTCTCCTCCTACATTGCCCAAGTGCCTGCCTGAGTTTGTGACATAGCAGCTAACTTCTCTCAATGCTCCAGCCATTTCTGATGACCTGACCTAGGTAGTCACAGAGCATCACGTTTTCCACATTTTTTTTTAAACTTAGGCTTGTTTCTTTTCTTTTCTTTTCTTTTTTTTTAAAAAATTTATTTATTTATTATACATACAGTGTTCTGTCTACATGTGTCCTTGTAGGCCAGAAGAGGGCACCAGATCTCATTAGAGGTGGTTGTGAGCAACCATGTGGTTGCTGGAAATTGAACTCAGGACCTCTGGAAGAGCAGCCAGTGCTCTTAACCTCTGAGCCATCTCTCCAGCCCCCGTTTTTCCACATTTTTGTCAACTAGAACCCGGTCACTAGGCCTAGTGCAAGCATGAAAAGGGGAAATTGGGCTGCATCTTTGAAAGGAAGGAGTGTGAAAAATTTACAGATGTATTTTTAAAATACCCATTAGCCTTCTGAGTTCAGTATTATTTCACATTGCAGAGGGAAATGGACCCACACAGAGAGCAGAACCGTCGTGGAATTTGCTGAATGGGTTTCCTTTTTTTTGTGTGACGAATGTCTTGCATGGGCTTTTCTCTTCATGCCTGAGAAGCATTGTTTTCCTTCTAGTTCTTACAGCTGTCTGTGACTGGCCACTGAGCTTGTTCCAGCTATTGCTGTAGCAAACGTAGACTCTTTCTGGTAAGGAGGAGAGAGCTTATTTTGACTCAGAATCCTTTTCTTAGTTGTCTGCAGGACTTTGTTCATCTTCAACTAAATCTCGGACAGCTTAAATGTATCAAGACTTGAAATGCAATGACAACAGCCTCATATTAAACTTGGTCTCGTATTCCATCACATTTATTGCTAAAGGTTTCTATTATTTCTACAACCTTAACAAACCCTTGAGCAAAGAGCATCTAGAGCAAATGGCATTTGGAAAGGAGAACACAGAACGTGTGACAGGCTCTGGTGGATGTTGGGCATGTCGTCTTGTTGGAGGAACAAACGGTGTTGTTCCTCCAGGCTGTGTTGTGGTGTTTGAAATAGTGACACTTCCAGGGTAGGGTCAAGCCAGGGCTGCACTGTCAGGGAGGTGACAAGTTAGTACTTAAACTCCTTCAAGGACACACATACGGTGGGTTCACTTCTCCATGGCCAGCGGTCCTGCTGAAGGAGCTATGGCGCCCACTGAGGAGAAACACTGGGGTAAAGGGTGGAGAAGGGCGGGGGGACATGTCTGTCAGTGTCCTGAGTATTCCTCACTGTCTAGATCACTGGTGGCTTCCATAGCAGAGGAGCTCGGACCCAGGGCCTGGACTCTCCTCAGCTGTCCACCTCCAGCTCCCACCTCCTCTCTGCTGCCTTTGTCTGACAGGTAGACTGAGCTCTCAGGTCCTTTCAGGCCACTTCCTCCTTTCTCCTGGCTGCTGACAGATTTTGGAATTTGGCAATTGTTTCAGTTCCCTTTTGTGTGTGTGTGTGTGTGTGTGTGTGAAAGTGGTGAAGAGAAGCAGGCTCTGTCCTGTAGAACTGATGAACACCAAGCATGAAGGAGAGTTATATTCTCAGTGTCAGACACTTGGCAGCAATTTTAAAAAGTATTTCAGACACAGTGACAGTTCTTCTGCAACCTTATTTTTTACTTCAGAAACAAAGTGATCCCTCAAGCCTCATAAGATCATTGACATCCACCCACAAAACAAGACCTGTGCTTCAGGCTGCTGGCTTGGGAAGGCTACCTGCAGGAATGCCCTGGGTGCCCATGTTCTCCCTCCAGGCCAATCTTGTGTATTCCAGGGGACATTGAGCATATGATGGCAGGACCACTGCCATGTAAGCAAGCAGACCAAGAGCTATGACTTGACAGTTCCCCTTGGTGCTCATGGGAAATTTCTGCACATCTCACTCAGCCACAGGCTGGTTGTTTTTGTAAATGTACCTCAATTGTTTTATGTTTGGGAGAAAGAAAATGAAGGAATCTTACAAATGTAAAATAAAAATTACAAACCACATCAAATAGTTGTTTAAATTTCCTGACAAAATCAGCACTGTGGCAGCAGATTTTGTGTGGTAAAAATCCTTAATTAAACAGGTCAAGTTACATCTGCTGCTGGAAAGTAGTGTTTGGAGATGTGTTTGGTCTTGCTTTATGTATTGCATTTTTCAGTAAACTTACACATACACAGAAAGAGAGAGAGAGAGAGAGAGAGAGAGAGAGAGAGAGAGAGAGAGAGATTCCACTTAATGCAAAATGTATTATGTTCTACAAACTTCACTTTTCGTGAGTTGTTGAAATCACAACACCCTGTGATTTGACTGGGCATTTTGACTCAACTTTCTAGAAATTCTATTTGGAGAAAAGCTTCCGTGACTCAAGTTCTGTTCTGGACATAAACTGTGCCTGTGCCGCAACTGTGTCCACATTTACATCTGTGTTCACCCTCCCAACCCTCAGGACTCCAAGCACTTGAATTTTCTGACATCAGAACAAGCTCTGGCTGATTTTGCAGAGTTAATTAGACACTTGAAAAGAACTGTCCCAGGAGCCGATGGTCAACCTGTCATTGCCATCGGGGGCTCTTATGGCGGTGTGCTTGCAGCCTGGTTCAGGATGAAATATCCTCATTTAGTAGTGGGGTAAGTGCATTTGGGCTGGACTCGAGTACCTCCCCCCCCCCCCCCCCCCCCCCCCCCCCCCCCACCCCGCCCCCCGAGATAGTGTTTCTCTATGTAACAGCCCTGACTGTCCTGGAATTCAGTTTGTAGACCAAGTTGGCCTCGAACTCACAGATATCCACCTGCCTCTGCCTCCTGAGTGCTGGGATTGAAGTTGTGCACCACCACGCCTGGCTCCATAGCACTTCTTAATGATCAAAAGAAACTTAGAGATTCATTCTGGGTCAAGCGTGTTCCATGCTGTCATATAGATGTTTCTGGATCCCATCTCATTAACAGCTGTGTTATTTTTCTAATCATCTTGTTAAGGCTCAGTTTCTATTTTATTTTCTAAAAGCGAATAAAATATAAAATAATTATAAAAATATTTTTATTTGTTTTTCGTAGTTTTTATTAGTTTGTTATTGAATCTTTTATACAATGTATTTTCATCCTTCTCTTCCAACCCCTTCCTGATTCATCCCTTCTTCCCTGACTTACAAAACTTGTGTTCCCTTCTTCCTCCTCCTCCTCCTCCCCACTCCTCTACACCCATCAAGTCCCACTTGAGCTACCCACATACTTTTGAATACGTGGCCTTCTACTGGAGGGTGGCTGACCTACCGTTGGCCACACTATTAAAGATAACTGACTCTCCTTGTCCTAGCAACGGTCCATTGCCAGTTAGGAATGGGCTCACATGCCGCCTCCCCTCTCCACGCTAGGATGTTGTCTGGCTTGAGCTGGTTGTTTTAAAACTTTGCTGAGTCCCATTTTCTTCTTTCTTCCTGTCATTTCTCTGATCATTCAGAGCTCTTGCAGCTTCTGCCCCTATCTGGCAGTTTGAAGAGTTGACGCCCTGTGGTGTGTTTATGAAGATCGTAACTGAAGATTTTAAGAAAGGTGGTATGAAATGTTCGGAGAGCATCCTCAGGTCTTGGGGTGCCATTAACCGACTCTCCAATACGGGTAAGCTTTACCTAAAGGAATGGATTTACATTGTGTGTGTGTGTGTGTGTTTTTTTTTTTTGAATTGAATTTCACTTGTTCAATACTTCCATTTAATTAAAAAATATTTTATGTATATGGTTTTTCTACCTGCATGTATATCTGTGTACTATGTGTGTGCCTGATGTCCACCAAGGTCAGAAGATGCCATCTGATCCCCTGGTACTGGAGTTACAAATTGTTGTGACACACCGTGTGAGTGCTGGGAATTGAACCTTGGTCCTCTGGAAAAGCAGCTAGTGCTCTTAACTGCTGAGCCATTTTTTTTCCAGCTCCCGAACCCACTTTTTAAAATGCACACATTTTATTAAAGCACATTATAAATCTTAAAAATAAGAGAAATCAAAATTCATGAGCTGATAATTGCTTGATGTAATTATCGTCTAGATCAAGAGAGAACATTATCAGGCTCTCAGAAATCCGATGGCATTCTTAGTCACATCAGCACACTTGCATAGTCCATCAGTATCCTAATACCATCATCTTAGGGTGATTTTACTTGTTCTTGAATTTTTCAGTAATTGGAATTGTACAATGTATATACGTGGGGGTTTTCAGCCTGGTATCTTTTGTTCAATGCTCTACGTTAGCTGCATCCATTTTTATTTATTTATTTATTATGTACACAGAAGAGGGCGCCAGATCTCATTACATGTAGATGGTTGTGAGCCACCATGTGGGTGCTGGGAATTGAACTCAGGACCTCTGGAAGAGCAGTCAGTGCTCTTAACCTCTGAGCCATCTCTCCAGCCCCGCATCCATTTGTTTTATGTGGTTGCTTATTTATCCACATTGTTCTATAGTATTCCTATTTATTTTAAATAAAAATATTAAATATTTTTAATTAAAATGAGAATAAAGAATACTACTAATTTTGGTAAAGCCCATGATGAAGTTTAGTTTGTCTGTCATGGAGTTATCAGATTGTGTTAAAGCATTTTGCTGAGTGGTGCAAAAATTCTTGGTGAAATGGCATAGACAATTGTATTTTCTGTAATGCAAAGTGAAGAACAAGAGATCTGTGAAGACTTACGTTGACTAGCATTTTTCAGCTTCCAGCAATGCCATTCTATCCCCAGGCAGTGGTCTCCCATGGCTCTCCAGGGCCCTTCACCTAATGCCATTCTATCCCCAGGCAGTGGTCTCCCATGGCTCCCCAGAGCCCTTCACCTAATGCCATTCTGTCTCCAGGCAGTGGTCTACCATGGCTCCCCAGAGCCCTTCACCTAATGTCATTCTGTCTCCAGGCAGTGGTCTACCATGGCTCCTCAGAGCTGTTCACCTAATGCCATTCTATCCCCAGGCAGTGGTCTCCCATGGCTCTCCAGGGCCCTTCACCTAATGCCATTCTGTCTCCAGGCAGTGGTCTACCATGGCTTCCCAGAGCCCTTCACCTAATGCCATTCTATCCCCAGGCAGTGGTCTCCCATGGCTCTCCAGGGCCCTTCACCTAATGTCATTCTGTCACCAGGCAGTGGTCTACCATGGCTTACCAGAGCCTTTCACCTGTGCAGCACCCTAAACTCTGAGGACATCCAGCGCCTGAAAGACTGGCTCTCTGAGACCTGGGTGAACCTGGCCATGGTGAACTACCCGTACCCGGCCAACTTTTTAAAGCCTTTGCCTTCTTGGCCTGTCAAGGTAACAGGACAATACCTTGTGCTCATTTATAAACTACTTTGTGGCTTTCATCAGAAAAAAATGTACTGATGATCCAGGGGCTCCGTGGAGCTAGCAGTTTGGGGCTGGAATCCTGAGTTCAGCCATTTTCTGATTATGTTACCTTGGACATTTTAGACAACCTTTCTTAGCCTTAACTTCCTTTTCTGAGAATTGGAGATAAAAATGCATCAGTACTGTGTAAGACCAGTGCTTGGTGTTAATGGAATAATTACCAAATCCTGGGCTGTACTTTGTATATGGAGCCCATCCAGTTTTGTGATCTATGTATTATGTCTGAATGTGTGTAACACATGGTGGAAACTTGATAAATGACCACTTTATTGAAGTGCTAAGATTATTCAGTGAGCTGCTAAACATTCTAAATGCTACACACCATGAAGAGTAATCACTATGCTGAACACCAGAGTGGGAAGGGTACCTTCTAAGTGCCAATGGGAGGACATGACCTTACGCTGCTACTTACCCACCAGCATCCTGGACAAGGTCCTCTTCCTTCTTGAGTTGCCCTGTCTTTGCTTGTCTGCCTCAGGAAAAAAAAAAAGATATCAATGGTTACAAATGCTTATGATAAGATCCAAATAATATGGACCTGATAAGTGTAAAGACATTGATTTATAGGTTCTACAAGTGCATGACCACTGTCTTAGTTAGGGTTTCTTTTGCTGTGAAGAGACACCATGACCACAGCAACGCTTATAAAGGAAAACATTTAATTGGGATGGCTTGTTTACAGTTCAGAGGTTTAGTCCATTATCATCATGGTGGGGCATGGCAATGTGCAGGCAGACAGGGTGCTGGAGAAGGAGCTGAGAGTTCTACATCTGGATATGAAGGCAACAGGAAGAGAACTGAGACACTGGGTGTGGCTCAAGCATAGATGAGACCTCAAAGCCCGCCTTCACAGTGGCACACTTCCTCCAAGGCCATACCTACTCCAACAAAGTCACACCTCCTAATAGTGCCACTCCCTATGAGCTTATGGGGGGGGCAATTACATTCAAACTACCATAAACAACTTATACAAACTGAAGTTCTTTTTATATTTTAAAGATTCTTTTGCTGTCCACATCATTTGTTGTATATGTTCTTTAAGTAATGCCTTGTTAAGAACAAGAGTTTTAAAAAGCAAAAGATGGTTATGTTTTGAGGATACTTTTGACTCTACAGCTAGAATGGGCTGGAAATGAAAATCTAATTAGTTATACAAGAACCAAGTTTCAAAAGTTCTTCAATTGTCCCACTGAAATAGAATGGGCTGGAAATGAAAATCTAATTAGTTATACAAGAACCAAGTTTCAAAAGTTCTTCAATTGTCCCACTGAAATACTAAAACTATACCTTACTTAAAATTGGAATTAAGATAAAATAATTTCACTTGTTCTCAGAGTTATTTCCCTTTATGTATAAAGTAAAAACTTATACATAACAGGAAACTAGCATGCATTGAATTAAGCTGGGTGTTGATAACACAAAGTTATTATTACTATTTTGAGACAAATTATTATTATTTTGAGGCAAAGTTCACTTTGTAGCTTAGAGTGGTCTAGAACTGTCTATGTAGCACAGTCTGGCCTCAAACTCATGACCTCTTGCCTCAACTTCTAAGTGCCAGGATTACAGGCATGCACCCCTACACCTAAGCACAAAGTTATTAAAAAGAGCTGACATCTTTTAAGAGAGACGTCTTGTATTTCAACCTGGATTTAAATACCAAGTTTACCTCTTTGTATTCTATTGGTATACAGTGTAAAAACGACACATACATCATCACTCCCACTTGAAGAACAAATGAATTTTTAGGTACTATTCTAAACAGAGATTGGCAGACTTTAGCTACAAAGAACTATGTTTTAGGTGTGATGGGTCTGATGGTTTTCTGCCAGTTAGTTTTGCAGCTGAAGCATGAGAGCAGCCATGGGCAATCCGTGAATGAGTAAGAATGGCCAATAATGCTTTGTTTATAAACGCAGGTAGCTGGCTGCATTTGGCCTATAGGTTAGTTGGCTGGCTCATAATCTAGAAAGAACCATAGGGATATAGCTTTTTAATGTTCATTTTAAAGCTTATTTTATTTTGCAAAGTGACTTTTTTTGCCCATAGTCATTGTTTTTTTTAAACCCGAGATCAATTCTTGACGTCCTCTTTAATAATTTCTTGCCAAAATTATTCTATTTTTTTATTTTTTATTATCTTAAGGAATTCATTTTGTGAGAGGGTTTTGAAGAATAGAACCCAGGGCTTTATACATGCTATGCAAGGGCGCTACCACTGAACGACATTTCTAGCCTGAGATTGGGAAATTCTTAATTGCTTAGAATACACTTACAATTTTTTTTCTGGACCACCCCCCCTCAAAAAAAAATGAAAAGAAAACAAAAAACCCCCAAAACCCACTTGTCTTACAGTTGGTTCGAGAGCCTCCCATTGCCAGCTTCTCCTTCCCTTCCCACAGTCAGCCGCCCATTGAATTTTTACAGATTCTTTTTCACGGCACCTCGCTCCTAAACTGAGCTTCAGGATTGCTTTTCTGTTCTCTGCTCATTCTGCTTCTCCTTTCTTGACCCTATCTGTCCTCTCAACCCTCTAATCCCCGCAACACTACCCAGCTGGGGACTGCTCTTTCACTTGGCCGCCTCCATTTAGCCAGAACTCCGCCTCTTTCTGATGCACTTCCTCCTCTTTTAAAGGGGTGACAAACAGCAGACCTGTTCTGAGTCGCCTGTAACTCGGGCTTAGCCGAGCGAGAGACCGGGTGGGGTTGTGAAAAGACAGCAGGCTATTTCCAACTCTGCCTGTACCACGTCCATCGCTGGAGTGTCCTTGGGCGGTGACTAAATGCCGTTTTCCACGTCAATTCAGCTATCATTCTCTCTAATTTGTCCCTGCACATTGTCCCTCTTTGCTTTTGTTTACTGGTCACAGAAACTGCCACAGTCATGCAGAAATAATCATGGACTTGGCGGGCAGAACACAGGGAGGAAGAGAAAAAGGAAATAGAAAACCCTCTGTCATTTGACGGTTCAGGCCACATTAAAAACCACTAGGCCTCTTCTTAGCGTTAAAAGCACTTTTAAGAAGGCTGAAGTCCCTTAAATTTTGTGGTCTTTCTTTTAGCCGCTAGGCAATCAAACATTTTAGCATTTTCAGCCTAGCCTTCTGAGCATGCGGATCCACACAGTGAAATAGTAAGACATAAAAGGGAAAATCTCTTCCGTTTGTCTTGGTGTTTGATAATGTATGCACCCTCTCTGGGTGGCTTAAGCGGTTTAGATGCATTCTATGAAAAGAGAGCTTTTACTGACAAAACTAATGTGATTATCTGAGGCCGTGTGAGGGGGGTGTTGAAGCCTCAGAGAAAGAAAATCTGGTCTAAAAGCTGAATGTATCGGTTTAATCCTTCCTCTAATGGAGGGACCATACTCTGCAGAGAAGATTGATCTTTTTTTTTTTAACGCCCATCTTCTTCCTTTTTAAGAATTGTATCTTAGCCCCTCCATCCCCCTTTCTTTTATTCTAATGCCTAGCCTCCTAGGTATGGGCACCTAAGACTTTTAAGCAAACCATTATCCTCGCTTTCTCAACCATGTGTTGGCAAGAAGGGCAGACCACACTGGAGTGCGGATCTGATCAGTGTAACGCCGCATGAATGTTCTGCTTTCTCTGTCTCTTTTATTCTCGCAGCAAACTCTAGCTTTGCAGCCTAGCCTAGCCTGGAACTTGTGATCCTCTGGTTCCAGCCTCCCTAGTGCCGAGGCTGTAGCTTACACCACCACGCCTGGCTTCCACATTATTTCTGTATTTTTTTTTTTTTTTTTTTTTTTTTTTTTGGTTTTTCGAGACAGGGTTTCTCTGTGTAGCTTTGCGCCTTTCCTGGAACTCACTTGGTAGTCCAGGCTGGCCTCGAACTCACAGAGATCCGCCTGGCTCTGCCTCCCGAGTGCTGGGATTAAAGGCGTGCGCCACCAACGCCCGGCTCTATTTCTGTATTTTTTAAGACTAGAATTATTAAAATGGAATTCCAATGTTCTTAAGAAATTTTCTTAGATTTATTTTTTATGTGTGTGGGTGCTTTGCCTGAATGTGTGTCTGTGCACCATGTGCATACCTGATACCCATGGAGTTCAGGAGAGAGCATCAGATCTTCAGGAATTGGAGTTATAGACAGTTGTGAACTACCACACGGGTGCTGGGAACCAAACCCAGGTCCTCTGCAAGAGCAACATGTGCTCTTAACTGTTGAGCCACCTTTCTAGTCTCTTAATTTTTTTAAAAAAGTATTTCTTGAGTGTTTACTTTTACTAGGAAATAGAAAGTAAATTAAGTCTATTTGATTCGAGTGGCTGGTGCTGAGTCTCCTGTTAATCTACCGTTTTAGTTTCTTTTAAACTATTGCAAATGTATTTAAATTTATACTGCAACGAAATGACTGTAAGTTTTTATAAAAGCCAAATAAACTAGGAACATACAAAGACAACCAAACAATGAAAAGGCATGGGTTTACGAAGATACATGTGAATGCCGGGCCTTGGGACACAGGCTTGTAAACCTAGCTACATGGGAGGCTGAAGCAAGAGGATTGCAAGTTTGAAGTCAGTGTGAGCAACTTGGCAAACTATATTCTCTGTCTGTCTCTCACGCACATACAAATACACACACACACACACACACACACACACACACACACACACACACTCAAACCCAGACATATACACACTCTTTCTCACACACACACAGGCACACACAGAGACAGACAGACCCACAGGCACACACACACCAAACCAAGCTAACAACACACAAAATGAGTAGCATGATGCAGGGAATACTCAGATGCTAAGACTTCACAAAGAAGTGTCTGTTGTGATGTCGTGGGCTTCCTTCCTGCTGTCTAATTAAATCACAGCCCCTCCGTGAACAACTCATAGTGAAAGTGCTTGCCCTAATCAGGTGGCTGATATTTGTAAACTATCAGGGTTAAGAGGAAGTATTACACGAGGTTGTGCCAAAGTTGCTGATGTTTGACTCATAAATGTGACTGTTTCCTATGGTTCACCTTCAACTCAATATTTATTTATATGCTTTATGCACATTGTACAGCTGATTAAAAAGTGTGTGGCTATCTCTTTTGAATCACTGTACCCTTGAGTAGTCATGAATTAGTGTAGAGAGTGTCTCTTATTACAGTAGTGCTTTTTGAAGCTTTGGTATTCTAAATAGTATACAAGGAGACTATGGGTTTGCACTTCTTTTACATAAAGGCAGCTTGTCAGGATCTAGTAAAGGCCTTACAATGTTTGTCTCCTTTGAACCAGTAATTCCTGTAAGAAGTTATCCTGAAGTCATCAAGGGTAAAGATTCAGCCGTAGAGATATGCAGGTTTATTTGTAATAATAAAAGGTCACAATGTGCTGGGTGGTGGTGGTGCACTCCTTTAACCCCAGCACTCAGGAGGCAGAGGCAGGTGGATCTCTGTGAGTTCAAGGTTAGCCTGGTCTACAAAGAGAGTTCCAGAACAGCCAAGACTGTTATACAGAGAAACCCTGGCTTGAAAAACCGGAAAAAAAAGTCACAATGTTTCAAAAAAGCAACCTCAAGGCTTTGTCGGTTCCTCAGCTCCCCAGCCTCACCGCTCCTCTATGAATTGTTTTACATTGGTGAGTGTCCTTCTGAAGGGTTGGTCAGAACTGGACCTTGTGCTCCCAGGAGGATCTGCCCTCAGAAGGGCAGTGGGCCCAGGACTCCCCCTAATCAGGTCGTGGAATTTCCATCAGCAGAGGCCACGTCTCTGCCCATGATGTTGTGGAGCTGCAAAAACCCATGTATTGTTATCTGGTGCCAGCCTCCAGCCACGCTTGTGTCTTTTAGGAGACAATAACTGCTCTTTGCAGAGATGCTATTCATGGGGACTCCTTTTCTTTCCTCAACAGAGGCCCAGTGTTCCTGCTCTAAGGGGGGAGGGTGTCTAATGCCAGCATGTGAGTCATCCCCACTTGCTACTGTGCCTTCCAAGAGTTTTAGGTGTTTGTACATCAGCCCCTCTTTTCTCTTGCCTCGTTTGCATCATCCGCTGGCCTCATCCAGCTCACTGCTTGAACAGAGTGTTTTCCTCTGAATCTACTCTGTAATTCCATGCTGGCCCTGGAAGAACTGAGTCTGCCGAGGGCGTCAGATTCAGAAAGGAGTGAGGCTCGGCAGTTGGTGATGGATAGAGTCCAGTACATTCCGTGATTGGCTCGTGGGTTCCATACCATTTTGTACATTTCTAACTGCTGTAGGTCTTAAGACTGCTTTCTGAGAAAAGTCATATTTTTAAATGTTAGGTAACTGTTGGTTTACCATGAGTAATTAGAGAGTTTTTGGAATAATAAATCACTGTTTTGACTTTTCGCTGCCGTTGGCGTTCCCTATGGCTTTAGTGCAATAAGGTTGTACTTCCAATTTAGCTCAGTTCTGTTTTTTTAATATACATCTTGAACATGGGCACGGTGGATACTTATGACCTCACAATCACCTTTTCCTTTAAACATTTATATCTATCTATCTATCTATCTATCTATCTATCTATCTATCTATCTATCTGTCTATCTATCTATCTGCATGTGTATGTGTGTGTGGTGTGTCTGTGGATGTAAATGCTATGTCATGCATCCGGAAGTCAACTTGTGGGAGTCGGTTCTCTCCTTCTACCGTGTGGGTCCTTCAGATTAAACTCACATTTTATAGTAAGTACCTTTACCCACTAATCTGTCATACTTGACCTCATAGTTTTTTGGGGTCAGGTTCTCACTGTGTCACTCTGGCTTTGCTGGAACTCACTCTGTAGACCAGGGTGGTCTCAAACTCACAGAGATCTATCTGACTCTGCCTCCTGTGTGCTGTTACACCCAGCTCTCATAGTTATTTTTTAAAGGTATATTAATATGGCTATCGTATTTGTGATTTTTCTCACCTTCAGAATTTCTAAAACTTGTTCTTAGTGTCTATGCATATGCCCTCTTCCTTTTGGAAAGCCATTTCTTTTTCCAGTTGAATATGTTAAAGGCTGAGAAATCTCATAGTCAAGAAAGCTATTCACCGGCTGGTGAGATGCCTCAGTGAGTAAAGCATTTGCCTGTCCAAGCTTAAGGACTGCTGCTCAGATCCCCAGAACCTACACGAAAAGCTGGGTGGATGCCATGGCCTGCAAGTCATCCCAGCACTCAGAGTAGGAGACAAGGGACTTCTGGAGCAGGCTGATTACCTAGACTGGCCAAAATTGTGCTGTCTGGGTTCAACTGAGAAACTCTGCCTTAAAAATTAGATGAAGGGGGACTTAGGAAGACTCTTGATGTCAACTCAACCTTCAGCCTCCACATGGACGTACACACATACATACATACTCCACATAGATGTGTGACTTACACGTGTGAATACACACACACACACACACACACACACACACACACACACACACACACACACACACCATGAAAGAAGGGAGAGCTCTCTATATTTGCTAATATATGACTTCTTGAAGTTACTTGTCTAAGAACACGAAGCACCAGTTAATAGTCCGTAGAAAAATTGTTATGAATGGGCTGAGGCAATGGCTTGTTTGGCAAAGTGAATTGTTTTATAAGCATGAAGACCTGAGTTTGATCCCCATAAACCATGTAAAAATGCTGGGTATGATGGCTTGTCTTTTTGCTTATAATCCCAGGGCTGGGAAGCAGAGGCAGGAGGATCCCTGGGATAGTCTAGCCTAACTGATGAGCCCAGACCAATAGGACTCTGTCTCCAAGAAAGTGAACAGCATTTTTGAGTATGAAACTTGAGGTGGACCTTTGGTCTCCACACTGGAACACACAAGAATATGCTTGCACACACACACACACACACACACACACACACACACACACACACACACACACGGGGGTGTGGGGGGAGAACAAAGGAGAGGCACAAAATTTTCCCTACAATTTGTTTCTACTCTGTTTTCAAATTCCCCCTTTTCAGAAAGGCCATGTTGGACTCTGGTCCTAGGCAGCATGGTGATGGGGGCTGGACACCTTCCTTTCTTGACTAGGGGTATGTCTCTAGCCCAGGCTTCATCCTCCATCCAGGACCTCTCTTTGAGGCAGAACAGGGCTTCTTCCTTCCCACCTCCTTCTCTGAACTAATCTCTTCTTTTGGTCAGATTTGCCTATTTTTTCCATATGAAGTGGGAAGAGAACAGTTCACTGCAGTCACATCAAAGTGTTGATAGGGTACGATTGGGAGTAGTGGCTTTGTCATTGAAACTGTTTCTATTTTCATGAGGAAGCATTTTCCTATGAATATAGTGCAGTGGAAAGTACGTTTATTTCAGAAGTAGAGAGCTGTAGGAATAAATTTCAGCTTTACCTTTTGCTAGCTGGTGAACTGGAATAAAGTGATTTGACCTTACAGTCAGTTTCTTCTAGGCAAAGTAGTGAACAATAATCTTATCTGGTAGGGTAAGCAATTTTAAAGATGAGATGATATATTGGTTATGAACTCAAGGCTTAATAATCAGTAGATGTTGTTATGATTCAGCTATGATTCCATTGCTTGTGAATGTCCCCTAACATTTTATTATAAAATATTTCAAATATACTGAAAAGTTGAAAAACATTTGATAGTGAACACTCATAAACTTACCTTGAACATGCTAGGGAAGTACTCTACCAATGAGCTACATCTCTAGCCCTTACCTCCTAAATTTTATAAATAATATTTAAGTATATTTGACTTATCACATGCATATTCTTCACCTATCAATCTTTTTATTCATCTTATTTTATAGATTTCAAGGTAAATTAAAGACATCTTCCCATAAATAATTAACGTTTTGTATTATTGAGTTCAATATTAGTTTATGATGCATTTAACAACAACAACAATAATAATAATAATAATTTTTTTGAGACAGGTTTTCACTATGTAGCTCTGGCTGTCCTGGAACTCACTTTGTACATCAGGCTGGCCTCGAACTCATAGAGATCCAATTGCCTCTGCTGCCCAAGTGCTAGGATTAAAGGTGTGCAATATTATGCATGAGCCTGGTTTATGATGCTTTTTAAACAATTTAGTTTAACATATAGGGGAATAGACTTCATTATGACATTTTCATACATGCCTAATTTTGGCTGATTTCTCTCCCTCTTTTCCCCTCCATCTCTCTGTCTTCCATTCTTGCTTCTATCCTTCTGCCTCAAGTGTTCTCCTTTCTAGTTCTAAATCACGATTCTTCTTTTTTGAGGGGAATAAAGATCTACATATAGCAGAAACCACAACTTTATGTGTAGTATTTGATATGTAAGTCAGTCTACTATGAAGATATGAAATATTTCTGTGCCTCAGAAAGTTTTCCATTCATCTTCTGGGCAGTCCTCATTTTGACTCCTAAAACAGAGTATTTCCTGAGATCTTCAGAGCTAGAATTCAGACACTTGTTATAGGCTGGTTACAGGGGCATTTGTAAGCTGGGTGGTTGCATGTTATGCATCTGGTCATACCACAGATGTTGGAAGTAGGAACATTTTTTCCACAAGAAAGCTTGCAATTTTTTCATAAAAACATAGCCCCACTATGAAAATGCAAAGGAGGCTGATGGGAGTATACGGACCAAAGAGAGAACAAGAGGGTGGAGGAGTGGAGAGGAGACAATTTTTGTTTGAAATGCCAAAATGAAACCCAATTCTTTGGATGCTAATTTAAAAACGAAACAAAACAGTGCTTCATTCGGCAAATAGTTATCTGAGAACTTGCTAAGCACTGTGGGAAACACTGTAGAATTAAATGAATACAAACAGCATTTTAAAGGTTGTGATAAAAATAGATCCTGAGTAGAGCAGAGCACCAAGAAGGGGGAGAAGTTTGGCTTTTTTAGACCTGGAAACACAGATAAGGACAATCTCAGGGAGGGGGGAATATTCGAACTGAGTATTGTAAAGGATGAGTTGGCCAGCATTCATAGAGTTAAAGAGTGAGAAAAGAGATTTGAGGATGAGTAGGGGAGGAAAGCGTATGGTGGGGATGGTTTTCTTGAACTTGGAGCAATGGCTGTATAGATTAAGCTGGAGTGGGAAGTAGATAGGGCTTTGCATAACATGTGAATGCCTACATTATTTCTGCAGTGCAGGGAAAATTATACTCAAGAGACAGAAAAACTTAAGCAATGCAGTTAGATTTGTTTTTGATTGTTCTGGCAGTCGCTGTGGAGCCTAGGCTGGCTTCATTCTTGCCATACCCCTGTCTCTGCCTCCAGTGTGCTGGTATTACAGGCATATGTAACCATGCCTAGCTGGGTTAGATGTTTAAGAGAGCTTTATGATCAAATTATAAGTGTATTTCTTCTTTGTTTATCTCTCCAAAATGATAGGAAGTGTGCCAGTATCTGACAAATCCCTATATGTCGGATTCCCTGCTGGTGCAGAACATTTACCAAGCTCTGAATGTATATTATAATTATTCAGGCCAGACCAGATGCAATAATATTTCTGAAACAACAATTGGCAATTTAGGATCCCGGGTTTGGGGCTATCAGGTAAGCATGTATGGCTTCCGAGGCAGTCTTTCTTTTTGCTGATACAGTTGTGCTACAATAGTGATCAGACAAGAGTTTATCACCTAGCCTGCATTCAAGTCTAGATGCTGTTGCATTACACTGTAAGACTACCAATAAGTTCATTTGTTCATTCACTCACTCACCAATCACGCTGAGTGCTTATCATTGATCAGGCTCTCTTCAGTTTCAAAGATAAAGACATAAATAACATGATCTCACCATCAAATATTGAGAAAGATAGATGCACTAACACTAAAATAGACCTTGGCAAGTCCTGGAAAGGAGGCATGGTGTGGACGTGTGACAGAAGTGAAGTCTAACTTCACTCTCTCTGCACCTGCATTCTTTTATCTGCACAGTATGACTAATGATTGCAACCAGAAACTTTTCTGCGTCCCACAGCTGCTCAGTCCCAAATAAATACACCGAGGCTTATATTAGTTACAAACTGTTTAGTCTATGGCTCAGGCTTATTATTAACTAGCTCTTTCATCTTAAACTAACCCATTTCTATTAATCTATGTATCGCCACATGTCTTGTGGCTTTACCTGTGTTCTATTGCATCTTGTTCCCCTGGCGGCTCTTAGTGTATCCCTGATTCTGCCTTTCTTCTTCCTGTCTCTTTGTTTGGATTTCCTGCCTGGCTCTAACCTGTCTTGCCATAGGCCAGAGCAGCTTCTTTATAACCAATGGTAGCAACACATATTCACAGTATACAGAAAGTCATCCAACAGCAAATAATGGTGATGACACTTTCCTCCTAAGGTTGTCTTTAGGGTTAAATATGACCATAGATATGAAAGAATGCCCCTTGCAAAGAAAGGAATAGAGATTCTTCTGTGACCTTTCAGCCATGTCTTTCTTTCTTTTTTTTTTTTTTTTAAAGTTTTATTCTTCTTTCATACTTTACATCTGGAACAGTTTCCCCTCACTTTATTCCTCCTAGTCCTTCCCCCTACTTCTCTTCTCCCCAGAATCAACTCCTCCATTTTCCTTCAAAACAACAACAACAAAAAGAGCAGGCCTCCCAGAGATATCCCTGAACATGGCCTAACAAGGTACAGTAAGACTGGGCACAAACTCTCATATCATGGCTGGACATGGCAATCCAGTAGGAGGAAAATGTAACTGGAGTTTTCCTGTGTCCACCCAGCTCCTGCAGCTGCTCAGACCCAAGTAAACACACAGAGACTTATATTACTTATAAACTGTATGGCCGTGGCAGGCTTCTTGCTATCTAGTTTTTATATCTTAAATTAACCCATTTCTATAAATCTATACCTTGCCACATGGCTCTTGGCTTACCGGTATCCTTACATCTTGCTTCTTATGGCGACGGTGGCTGGCAGTGTCCCCTGACTCAGCCTTCCACTTCCCAGAATTCTCCTCTCTGCTTATCCCACCTATACTATACTTCCTGCCTGGCTACTGGCCAATCAGCATTTTATTTATCAATCAATCAGAGCAACACATTCACAGCATACAGAAAGACATCCCCAGCAGGAAAAGGGTCCCAATCACAGGCAAAAGAGTCAGAGACAACACCTACTCCCATTGTTGAGAGTCCCACAGGACCATCAAGCTCCACAACCATAAGGTATATGCAGAGGATCTAGCTCCAACCCACACAGAGTCTATCTCTTCAGTTCTGTGAGCCTCTATGAGCCCCTATACCCCCTGGCTCTATGGGCTATGTTCTCATGGTATCCTCAATCCCTCTGGTCCCTACAATCCTTCCTCCCCATCTTCTGCAGGGTTCCCCTGGCTCTGCCCAGTGTTTGTCAGCCATGTCTTTCGATGGAGAAATAAAAGTGTTGTGTGGCAGGGATGTAAAGGGGGTGGGGTTGGGGGGGAGGCTGAAGTTCGATTAAAGTTTAGACACTAGCTTTGCTACTTACTGATGATGATGCTACTTATTTTGCTACTCAGCAGCTGAATGATCTTGAATAATTCATCTTTTCATTTCCTTTCCTGGATTGCTTTTAGACCTGCACAGAAATAATCCTGCCTTTTTGCACGAATGGTGTTGATGACATGTTTGAACCCCGTACATGGGACTTAGACAAGTATTCTGATGATTGTTATAAACAGTGGGGTGTGAGGCCACGGCCTTCCTGGGTCACTACCTTATATGGAGGCAAAGACATCCGTTCACATTCAAACATCATTTTCAGGTGAGTTCTGTTGGTCCCAAGAGGAACTTTGGTTGTTGGGGACCCTTGCAGAATGGCTGAGAGAATAGAATCAGGAAAGTGTGGGGTAATAAAACAACATAGAACACAACAGTGACCTCATTAGGCTTCTATTAAAATCTCTCCATTGCCGGGCGGTGGTGGCGCACGCCTTTAATCCCAGCACTCGGGAGGCAGAGCCAGGCGGATCTCTGTGAGTTCGAGGCCAGCCTGGGCTACCAAGTGAGTCCCAGGAAAGGTGCAAAGCTACACAGAGAAACCCTGTCTCGAAAAACAAAAAAACAAAAACAAAAACAAAAAAATCTCTCCATCATGAAACAAAACATTATCTTTTGTTCTCAGGTTGTGTTGTTATTGTTAGTAATTATAACATTAATATTCAATATTGGTTCAACCGACACTTTTGAAGTGCCCATTCTTTTCCTTACAAGTACTGTAAGACATGAAGCACTTTAAACAAATTACCCAGAATCCTCACAACTACTTTAAGAAGTAGTTGTGATAGCCGTCCTTTTAGTCAGGAAGATACTCAGAATCACTGAATTGAGACACTTACAGAAAGAAGCCCAACCAGGTAGTTGTAAAGGAAGATTTCTTCCTTGGCCTGGATGTTTACAAACCCACTTGTTCTACTTTGTCAGTGCTTTCAAGATGTAACACATTTGATACTGGTTCACACCAGAATGAACTGAGTTGGCTCCAAGCATACCTGACTGTGATGTCACATGTTTCATGTCTGGCTAGGTTGTCTGCTATTCAGCTAGCAGCTGGCTAATTAAAACATTCACCAAGGGCTGGGGATATAACTCACTAGTAAAAGTACTTGTCTACTAGGCAAGAGGCCATGTTTCATCGCTAGCACCAAGAAAAGCAGTTGTGTGAATCTGTGGACACCAACACATACATCTTCACTAGATCTGTGGTTAAATTTGCAAGCATCTTTCTTTTTACACTCTCTCTTAAAGGAGTCAGATTGGATCCTCTGTGTACACACAGTAGTTTCTGACAAAGAGAAGTGTAGATGAATTTCTAAATGGTCTTATTAAATAAAAAAAAAAAACATAGAGCCAGAAATTTGGGTTAAGGCCTGAGAGAAAGCTCAGAGGAATAGGACAGACCACGAGCTAACCTCACCTCACCAACTCCGCAGCTTCCAAAGAGAGTGACTTCCTGTCTACTCAGGCTTATATGCCTTCCTGTTCTGCCATCTGATTTGCTCTCTGTCTAGCTACATCACTTCCTCTTCCTGGCCAGCTCTGTCACTTCCTGTCTGTACAGGCCTCCAGAACTCTATGGTTGGTACTAGGATTAAAGTCACCACACTTGGCTCTGTTCCCTAGTGTGGACTTGAACTCACAGAGATCCAGACAGATCCCTGTCTGCCAGGTAAAGGATTAAGGGTGTGTGCTGACACTGCATGACTTCTGTGTTGTGGCTGACTTTTTCCTCTGATCTTCAGGCAAGCTTTATTTATTAAAGCACAAATAAAATATCACCACATTTCAACACAAATATCACCACATTTCAGCACAAATAAAATGTCACCACAGAGAAGTGCTGAAGGTGCTGCCAGCCGTGATTAATATATGCCTCTGACTATCAGACTCATGCTATTTTCTAACCCAACAGATACCTGTTTCCAAATAAAAGCCAAGACACTGACAGAAAACAGACAGCTTCTTTTAGTTTAATTTCTTTAAACTGTGTTCCTAAGTCTCATTTGGACTCTTCATAACTATATTATTCAGTTCAGCAATGTAAAGTGGTGGTTGGACAGATGAATCCACTTACATTCTGCCAGATTTAGTGTTTGAAATTAGGGAGATTGGAAAGACTGTGAACACTGAGAAAGGCATCTGTATGAGCCTTTGGGTCTGGCTTTATCATTAGTTCTGCTGTTAGAAAATATCCAAGACTTGGCAATTTATAAACAGCATAAACTTATTTCTCACGATTGTGTCAGCCAGGAAATCTAAAATGTAGGTTCTGACAAGTTCTGTGTCTAGTGAGGGAATGGTGTCTGTCTCCAAGATGGCACCTCGAAGCCTGTAGTCTTGTCCAGCAAGAGTGGAAAGGGACCTAGACTAGTTTTTCTAGCTTTGTTTGTTTACTAGAGACAGCATTTCACTATGTATCCCCGGCTGTCCTGGAACTCAAAATATAGACCAGACTGGCCTGGAACTCATAGGTAAACACCTGCCTCTGCCTCCCAAGTGCTGGGCTAAAGGAGTGTGTCACCACATCTGGTTTGTTTCAGTCTTCTGATGATAATCCCCATGTAAGTCAATCACTTCCCCAAAGGACCTGTCCCTTATCACTAATCTTAGTGCTTGTCTCCACAAGTTAAGTTCTGACTCATGAATGATGAGCACAGAGTCTCTAGGCTCATCTCTGTTCTAGCAGAGGAGGAAGTACTTTATCAGTTCGTTGTTTCCCTCTTGGAGATTATCTTCAGGGACTGTCCATATGGTTCTTCTAACATCCAGGACTTTAAGGTTGTAAGATAAAGACCTTATAACAAATAAAGCTGAAGATCAAATTTAATTAAGTGTAATCTTTATCCTTTGTTTGGATGTTTAATATATGAGTTTTGGTCAAATACTGTCTCTTTTCTTATTGGATTCAACCACCTCAAATAATTCTTTTAGTAATCTGTAGTATTCATAATCGTCATGAGCATTGTCTTCATTTTCACTGGAAGTGGGGGCAGAGTTTGTGAGAGACATTTCCGGATGAGAGCAGAAGTCAGCGGGTCGTAGTAGCTCAGTGTAGGGAAGGTATTTTCTAAGAGAGCTGTACAGATGCAAAAGGAGCTTGTCTCAAGTGAGATGACTCGTGTTGTCTGATGCTCAGTTTTGCCATGTGAAAAAGAGGACAAGCAGTGACACCTCACAGAGTTGCTGTCATGTTTAAATGAGTTAGCCCAAGCTAAACCTGGTGGCCTTTTGTCCCTACTACTCAGGAGGCTTAGGCAGCAGGTTTGCCTACCTAACAAAACCAGAGAAATGTTAACCCAGCAGAATACTATGCACTCAGACTCAAACCTGGAAAATACATGTACATAGAAAGTGAAATGAAGTCTGTTTTCTCCCCTGAACTTTATATCTGTATGTTGTTCCTATCCAACCCAGAACATAGACATGTACAGACACACATACACACAGACATAGACACACAGAAACACACACACACACACACATACACACACACAGGAGTACGGGGGCTGCTTTGGCAGGAAGGTTCAATATGAAATTGTTGGATTGGAGATGTTCCAGCTAAGATTTGTAATTATAGAATCAGGTTCAGCTCGGGTGTCTTTTTGTTCTTTCTATAATTAAATGCACAGGTTTGGGCAAATTGCTAATTTATGAAATTGAGAAATACTAATGATTATCTAACCCCGTTATTTAAAGAAGAGATAGATTGTTACAGAAGTGAGCACAGTGACAACAGGTTTGTCTGTATTGTCTGCTGAGCCTGCTGTGTCGATGAGCACAGACACAGATAGGTATTCAGTAAGCGTCTGTGTCAATGAGCACCGGACACAGATAGGTATTCAGTAAGTGTTTGTGTCAATGAGCACAGACACAGATAGGTATTCAGTAAGTGTTTGGTGAGCAGCCGAGGACTTGATAAATAGTAGCTGTTACAGTCCCGCTTTGGCAATTCTTTCCAGTGCATGGCGGTTCTCTTGGGAGGATTTATATTTTCCAAAACTCATAGATTACTTCTCCAATGATGATTCTCAGTTATTTAAGTATAAATTCAGAAGGGACCCCATGAAGAACTGGTTAACTAACATCATTTCCCAGGCAAATTAACTATTGCCAGTGATTAAGTGAGGCTGGTTGTTGGGGATTTGTCCCCCAGGAAAACAGTATATAGATTTAGATTTCCCATGACTGGTGTAGCTTTCCTGTATCTGAACTGAGAAATTCAAGTCCATGTGCAGGCGGGGTCTCTCAGCAACTCCAAACAGTGTTGCTAAGTCACCAGGTGCTTCAGATGACCTTTAAATCAGATGCAGTTTGCTCCTCATGTGGCTGCAGGGACTTCTTTGTTTTGCAAATACTGGAGCATTTCCTGCCTGGGTTGAGCCTGTCAAACTGGAGCAAAGACGAAGGCTGTTGGTTCTCTCAAGAGAAGCCAACCTTTATTTTGAACAAAACCAGTAAAGCGTGTTTTTGGTATAAGTTTTCTCCCCCAAGAATGATATTAGTAGGTTACAATTAAGCATTTTTTTTGAAGAGAAGTATATGATGGAAAAGGGAATTTAAAGTTGTATTTCAAACATGTTTACATTTAACATGCCTCAATGTTTATTTTCTACTTCATTTTGTGCAGTGCCTTTATCTATAAAAGGCTGATGGACTTAGTATTCTGACTAACTTTTATGAGAAACACTTTTGAATCCATTTTCATGATTTGCTTGCCCCTTGGAGGTATTATCACTTCCTATGCTTACAGTATGTGATAATACTCACAAGAACTGGACATCTGTGTGGTATGTTATAGTTGGTGCCTTATTTCCACATGCATTGTTCAAATTTGACCCCATAACATCTGTGTGAGAGAGACTTTTGAAAACATTTCTTTTCTGTAGTATGCATAGGAATTGAGGCTCCCGGAAGTTAGGTAGCTTGGTAAAGATTTGAAACATAACGTTGATGTTCTTCCTGCTTCCGCATACAGTTGAAAGCTCAGATGTGTGTTTGTATCAGTCATTTATGTGGACTCTGTTTTTCTATGTCAGAAAGTGCTGAAGAGGGTATGTGTTCATGAACCTGCAAACCTTTACTCACAGATCTCCATGGGGGACATCCGGTACGAAGCACAGATAATCTGATACCTAATTTCCTTAAGTGTTTGTTTGGCTCCTACTGTGAACCACACCTGGTTCTAGAAACCAGAGATAGAGCGATAGAAGAAACCCAAATCCTTAACCTGGTGGAGTCCTGGTTTGACAGGTGATAAAGCAAGGCAGTTTCACCAAATATGCTAAAGAGAAAGAAAGGTAAGCCAGGAAGGAGGTTAATGATGTAGATAGAGGTGGAGGATTGGGTCTTGTCAGTAGTTCATGGTAGAGATAATGGAGACTTGGACTGTGGTGTGGGAGTCATGTGAGAAGGAGTCAGATTCTGGATATATTTTAAGATATAGCTGACAGGTCTGGTGACAGATTGGATGTCAAACGAAGACTAGAGGATGACAGCAAACCCTTGACCTGAGCAGCTACAAAAGTTGCCATTAATGGGGACTAAGAAAATGAAGGGAGGGGCTGGTGAGGAGTTGAGGAATATAAACTCACTTTGGACCTGGTATACTCGAGATGTGTAAGTAGACGTCCATGTTAAACATGCCATGTAAGTAGCTGAATTTTGATAATAAAGTACAGACCATTGAATCGACACTGTCAAGTGGTACATATGCTCGAAGTGTCCTGGCAGTAGAAAATCAGTGATAATCTATAGTATTTTAATGGACCATTGAATTTTTAGGAGGCAGGTAAATACTCTTACTTGTTTGTGATGGTTACTTGAGCACTCCAGCCACACCTCATGTATCTTTGTCATACTTTATATAGGCCTTCTACTTTGGGCTGAATCAGCAGCTGAGATGGGGAAAGGCCTGAACTTTGCTTTCTATTTTCCTAGTAAAAATAAATACATTCTCTTGGCTATTATTATTTTATGAATCCCAGCATAGCTCCTGTGATGGGATACATCAACTGCTAAGTTGACACAAATCTACTCCCCTAAGAAGAGGGAACCTCAGCGGAAGAATTGCTTTGATCAGATTGGCCTGTAGGTATCTGTGAGCTGCACATTACTGATTGCTAATTTATATAGGAGGGCTAAGCACAATTTAAAGATGTTACAACTAAAATGGATACTATAGTAAAAGCATTTATGTGGTAACATATTTAATGACAACACTTCCGAACCATTTTCTGATGGTGAGTTTATTAACGTACAAAGCATTAAAATGGAGAGCATCATGCAAGTCATTGTTAAGATGCTGAATTTCCTAAGGGCCAAAGGATTCAATTGCCAACTGCAGGAATTCCTTCAAAGTGTTAATGCTAACTATGGTGATGTCATTTACTTTTCAGAAGCAAGATAGCAAAGTCGTAAGCAAATATTGAGTAGATTTCCTAACTGATGAGGCATTATCAAATCATTTATGCTATCAAAAAAATTTTGTACCAGAACTTGATGATGGAAACTGGCTTATAGATTTAACATTTTTAACAGATTTAACCACTCATTCAAATGAGTTAAACATACATCTTCAAGGTGAAAACTAACTTACCAATCAATACAGTTTCCAAATCATAACAGTGTTCAGATCGAAACTGAAATTATAGCAAGCTCAAATTGAAAGCAAGCACTTCTATGCATTTCAGTACTCTGGCAAAACAATCCCATAAACTGCAAAAAGTATATAGCCTTGTATGTCAATTTGACACAAAAATTTGAAAATATATTTCAAGCTTTCAGGAAACATATTTGGCATACTTATGACATAGTATTCAGTCCACATAGACATGTTTCCTGCCAACTTTCAAACAGTTCGTGGGACTGCGACACTCAACTTAAAGAAAAATAAGACCACATGTGTTTAGGAGACTTTAAGGATCCTGTGGTCCATTCCTCACAATCATGCCTTATGCCTATTACTGCTTTTTGTTGTTGTGAGCACTTATGTTTTAAGCAATTGTTTACAAGAATGAAGCACACTGAGAACTAAAATCAAAACATCCAATGAGTACCATGAGTACTTCCATCAAACCTGCTATTAACGCATTCCTTTAAAAAAAAAGGCGTCCCACTAGTCTCATGTTGCCCTCTTCTCTTTTGCATTTATAACAAATAAATGTGTTTTGTTGAAATAGTAGGAAGCATCAAGCACCAAGAAACTCTTTAATGTGACCAAGTAGATCCTCAGACTAAACCTCCCAACTTGTTCATATTTTCAGGCTTATGCACGAAGAATGTTCCTCATATTGTATTTGAATGCGGTCATAGAGAACTGACAACCTTAATTTTTCTTTTTTCCCTCGCTTCAGCAATGGTGACCTGGACCCATGGTCGGGAGGTGGAGTTACCGAAGATCTCTCCGATACCCTGGTGGCAGTCAACATCCCAGATGGGGCCCACCATTTAGACCTGCGACCCAGCACTGAGACGGACCCACCATCCTTGCAGTTAGCCCGCTCTGTGGAACTCAGACACATGAAGCAGTGGGTCTCAGATTTCTACGGCAATTACAGAAAGCAGCCCTGAGCAACTTTTCAAAATCATTTTTACTTTCTTCTTTTATGTTCGCTCCACCCACATACCCATTCACTTTGATTTTTTTATATGTAATTACTTTCCCTCATTTGTCATTGTATTTGTTGGGCCAAGAGACAGAAGAGCGTGACAGGGGTGGGCGCAGCCATCCCACCCAGGTGACTGCTCCGTCCTCACTGCCTTTGTGCCATCTCCAGGAAGAATGCCATCCTGGCAGCTCTGATGCCATCAGAACTGGCATGGTTCCTGACTGTCTTTCACCAGAGGGAGAGTCACTTTTCTCCCAAGCGGGGGGATGTCTCCTCGGTTTTGAGATGGAAGTCTCTCTGGCCCATTGTAAGCCCCCATTCCTGCCACAAAAGGAAAAGCAGAAGCTGGATTAAAAACGCTGCAGCTGCGGCTGGTGGGCTGTGTGATGCCAGTCCAGGAAAGGGCCGCTTCCTGTGAGCTCCATGACTGCCTTTGAACTGCAATAAAGAACAGGGCAGACCTACCTGTGTGTTGCTCCCATCTCGTCCAGCTGTTGGGAAGGCAGTGTGCCTGGGCTGGCTGCTTTCGGGAAGTCCTTTCTTTTTCTCTTCCCCCTTGGCAGCCTTCCTTAGTTCTGGGATATTTGCCACCGTTCTGCAGCCAGGAGAAATCTGGCCTTCTCCTGCTCCGTTTCTCTTTGTTTCTAAGGTCAGTTTTGTGGTGATTTAGTTAAATTTTGCCAACTTTGGAAAATCGCTCTGTTTGGTCTTTTACTTGAAATTCGAACAGGCTCTACATCGTGGTCACTGATGATACTTAAGTAAAAAGACTTTTAAATTTGCTGAGTAAGCTATTCAAAGATCAGAATGTAGTTCTGTTTTGTTTTTTTTTTTAATATTTTATCTTCTGATAGTTGTTACTGATACAAGCAGCAGGTGCGTGGGGACTTTCCTGTATGGCTTCCAGATGACAAGCAGAGTAATTCATGCAGGCAGCATATTTGACATTAATAAATGACGGACCCTTCCCATTTCCAAGCGGTTGGAACTTTCAAGTGGTTCTCACACTGAGACCTTTCTTCCAAAGGGTTTTTCTCAAATAGGAAATACAGTTGAATCCACGCATTTCAGGGACATAGAGACTAACAGTCTCCTCTGTGCTGAATGAGCTCTTCTTCCCAGCTTCTTTTTATTTTCTCTTTTTAACCTGTGTTTGGGAACATCTAAGGTTTTTTAAAGTGTACTTGAGATTGGTCATTTCAAGAACCAAGTTTTGATCAGGAGACTGAGCTGTTTCCCTATTTTCCTGGCATACAGCAAAATCTTGGTCTTGCTTTGGAAGCTTTCAGTTTTCATTCCCATGAGCGGTCGTTGCATTTCATTCTATCGAAGCAATTTGGTTAGCACTTTGTTTTGGCATCAGAAAACAGTCTATGGGGTAGCCGTCAAAGTCAAGACAACATGAGTTTTTATTCTTTGTCCACTAAGAAGTTGTATGTCTCAGGCTTGGGACTTTAATCCCAGGCATTCTTATTTTAGGATTTTAGCCCATTCTCCTCGATGTATTTTTCCTTATTTAGCATCCATAAAGTGCTTTGAGATTTCATTTAACGTTGATTATTCAGAGGCATTATCTCTTTCTGAAGAAACAAAATTTAAAAAGAAAGATTTTTTTCTTGGCCAGCATGATTTATACTTTGTATAAAGTTAACCTAAGTATACTGTACTAAGTTTTTATTTAAGTTGAAAGTGAATGAGAATATCAAATCTTATTCAAAGTGGCCAGGCAGACACATTCAATCCCAGCATTCAGGAGACAGAGACAGGAGGACGCTTGCAAGTTTAAGTGAAGCCTTGCCTACATAGTCACTTTCAGGGCAGCCAAAAAACAAAGTTGACTCAAAAAAATCAACCAACCAACCAAAAAACAAAACAACTCTCTCAAAACAAATAAAAACTAAATCCAAAACTCAAAACTTAATTTTTGGAATGCTTAATATGTTTCTTTTTATTTTTCCCTTTATTTAGTATTTATCTTTTTATTTTTTTTTTAGTTTTTCTTTAATCTTTTTATTGTTGAAAAAGTTTTAAAGCATATTCTAACCATAGGTTATACTGGGTTATGACAATGTTACATTTCCCGCAATGTCCCTCTCTTGTCTTCTCCCTCCCATTCCTGCTGACCCTCTCCCTTCTACTTTCAGATCTTTTTTTTTTCTTTTTTTAAATTGTGAACCAATGTGTTTCACTAGGGTCGCTTACAGGAGCATAAGTGAGTAAGTAAGAGGATTTTATTTATTTATTTTTTTAACAAGAGCATAGGCAACTTACCACCGGTGACATCATAGAAGAAATTCCAGCTACCATTAATTGTCAACGGATCTACTAGGAGGGCTGAGGCCTTATGAACCTCTTCCCCCTCCATGATAGGCCCAATCTTGTGCATGACTTGTTCAGGTAATGACAGCTACTGAAGGTTCAGGAGTGGAGCTGTCATGTCATGCCTGGGATGCAGCATTGCACGTCACTCCACTTCTTCTGGCCCGTACATTCTTTACCCCATCCTTCATTGATGTTCCATGAGCCTTGGAAGGGGTGATATAGATGTCCCATTTAGGGCTGACCTTTCAAGAGCTGTTTATGCTCAGCGTTTAGGTCAGTTATGAGTCTCTGCAACAACTGCAGAAAGAAACTCCTCTTACCAAAGCTCTCAGCACCACTAATTCATAGGCATAAACAGAAACGTCTAGAAGGCAATTTTATGGGCACACAATGTCAATTTAGCAAAACAACAGTAGCGGCTTTCCCACTAGGGCCTATGTCCTCCCCAGCCAGGGGCCTTTTACCAAGTTTATAGTACCAGTTGTAAATTCACTGCTGTGGAGCAGGTCTCCATTTTAATCAGAAAATGGCTGGTTGCTCTCTAAGTAGTCATACCACTACTACACTAGTGGGCATTGCCTGGCAGCTTACTGGTACTCACAGTGGTTGTACCTGGAGCTCTGGGTGCTTGGATGGTTGGTGCAGGATTGAACCTAGCTTGAAGCTATAGGTTCAAGAACAGCCTGGTAACATACTGGGAGTCTTGTAAGGAAAAGGGGAAAGCTTGTTTAAAGTGTCCTTCCACTAGATCTCTGAATTCATCAGACAGGAAAGAGAGACACAGAATACAAGTTTTTTTTTTTTTTTCTTTTCTGCTGTTGTTAATCTAGAGGCAATGGATGCATCAAAGAAATTTAGGTGCTGAAAAGAAAGCCCAGCAATTAAAGGTACTTGATGTTTTTGGGGACCAGGATTCCTTCTATAAGTTTTATCAGGCAGCTTACAACTGCCTATAACTTCAGTTTCAGGGGGTCAAATGCCCTTATCTGGAATCTGTGTGCGCACTTGAGCATACACACACACACACACACACACACACACACACACACACACACACACACACACACGCCCTTCACAAAGAAATTTAAAAAACTTCTTTAGCATTCTGTAGAGCCAGGGGAGTCTCTAGAGCAGCCAGTTTCCAGACCAGCATGCTAGAGAATGAACATACCTCAGGGATCCAGCCCAACCCATCAACCCTATTGGAAGGGTCTTGTCTACAGTCTCATAACTTATTCTTTGGTACAACTTGGAGTTGATTCCAAATTTATTATGCTTCACGTTACTGGTGTAGCTTAGTCTTTGGACTTAAGAACCAAAGTCTTAGTAAGCCATCATCTGAAACAAAGGGGAACTTATTGAAACCATTGAAACTAAGTATCATGATGGAATAGATCTGGAGCCTGCCAAGTCTGTAAGTCAAGATGGCTCACTCTACATCTCCGGCTTCCAACCAAGACAACTAGGTGCCAGTCAGAGGGGCAGCTTTGTTTTTGAAATGTTTATAATTTTATCATAAGACTGAATTTTCAAGTGAGTTTATATAAGTGCCAATGCTGAGCCCCATCCTAGAGCTTGTAGATCATTCTGGGGTAAATCTCAGGAAATTAACTATCTAGCTGGTTGCCCAGTGATTTGGGAACATCATACTTTGACAAGTGCTATTGAAAAGCCTCCTGGATTCTAGTCTCTTCAGACAGGGCATGCCCTTTCTGTTCATCTTCACCTGTTTCTGTATCTGGCCTGTCTGAGGGTGGGAGCCCTGCTTCAGGCTGCAAGTCCTGCAATGGTCCTTCTGTCAGCCAGCTTCCTCTTTCTGCTCACAACAGGCCTAGGATGACTTCTCAGAGTGGAGTCCCCAGTGCCTCACAAGTTCTCATATCTCAGGCAGCTAGAGAAGGGCAGGATCTTGAAAACATGGTTGTAGAAACAGGTCAGGCAACTCAATCTCATGATGTCTGCTTGGAAGACAGATGTCTGACAAAATGCCAGCATCATATATAGTAGAAAGATCTATAGGCCAGCATATCTTAATTAAAATTTAAATAGTTATTTGTCACATGCAAATACACATTGTGATTGTATAAAATGATGGCCCCCAATAGTTTTCCTTCTCTTTCATTTCCCTCCCCACCTCATGCTGAGGCTGCAATCTAGAGCGTGTGCGGTGTTAGACGGTGCCCTACCATTGAGTGTCTTCAATTTTTGCAGTGCCTATCTAACGGAGCACCTACTAGGCATGAAACATTGTTCTAGAGCTTAGAAAATTAGAGGTGACTAAGAAAACACACTATCTGTTCTAATTTTACATTCTAGTGGGATAAAGACACAATTGGTAAGCATTGTAATGTATTGGTATATTTGTTAGTGCTGCAGGGTACTGGCTGTTTGTTCAGGATGTTCAGCTAGGAATCTGAATGTGCAAGAGGATAAAAATGCCTTTCTGAGATGTAGTATTTTAGCTGTCATCTCCATGAAGAATGGGAGCCATCCCCAGAAAGTGGATGGAGAGAATGGCTTATGTTAAAGCTCTGAGCATAGGATATTGAATGAAGTGCAAGACATCTGCTACAATGGTACTGCGGACAACCATGAAGAACATGACCTAAATCAAGATAGAGACATGAGCCTGGGGAGTACTCACACAAACGGATCCTGACAAAGGCATAAAAGATGAGAAACTGCAAAGGAGCCTTCATGCGGGAATGACAGGAACTGATTTTCATTGGAAAAATATCACTCTAGCTATAGAGTATGAATTGTAGGGGGGGCAAAGCAATGGCCTAGACCACTATTGCAGTTGTCCATGAATGGTAGCTTGAGTAGTGACATGTAGATTAGATAAGGATGGCTTGAGAGAGGTTTAATAAGGAAAGTTACTGGATGTGATGGGTTAATAGGTGTGCTATTGTTGGCAATATCAAGACTTGCCTCTGGAAGACAGGCCTCTGGCCATGCCTTTGGGGTATTATCTGATTATGTTAGTGTGGGGGCTATTCCCTTAATAGGAAATCCTGGAGAGGAGAAATTGAGCCAAGCACTAGCATGCGTGCATTCTTCAGTAGCTCTCTATTTGACTGTACCTGTGATGTGAGCAGCTCCTTCGAGCTCCTGCTGCTCTAAGTTCCCCACCGTGATGAACTAGAACCTGAACTGTGAACCTGAACAAACCTTTTATCCCTTAAGTTGCTTTTCTCAGAGTATTTTTATCACAGCAACTTAGAAGAAGCTAAGGCCACAGGGTTTAGTGGTGGGTTCTATATGAGATATGAGTTGGGTAGGTATCAAGGATGATGATGTCTCCTTTGTAGACTTGAATAGGTGGCTCCATACCCTTGGGAGGGAGCATGAGATGCAGACTGGATTGGACAGGGTGATGATCATGAGTTCAGTATTGTCAGGTTGAGTTTTATGCAGTACT